GCACCATGTCACACATTCAACCATCTCTCAGTGTGGATACCATGTCACACATTCAGCCATCTCTCAGTGGGTGCACCATGTCACACATTCAACCATCTCTGTGTGGATACCATGTCACACATTCAGCCATCTCTCAGTGGGTGCACCATGTCACACATTCAACCAATTGCTCAGTGGGTGCACAATGTCACACATTCAACCATCTCTCAGTGTGGATACCATGTCACACATTCAACCATCTCTCAGTGGGTGCACCATGTCACACATTCGGCCATCTCTCAGTGTGTGTACCATGTCACACATTCAACCATCTCTCAGTGTGGGCACCATGTCACACATTCAGCCATCTCTCAGTGGGTGCACCATGTCACACATTCAACCATTTCTCAGTGGGTGCACAATGTCACACATTCAACCATCTCTCAGTGTGGATACCATGTCACACATTCAGCCATCTCTCAGTGGGTGCACCATGTCACACATTCAACCCATTGCTCAGTGGGTGCACAATGTCACACATTCAACCATCTCTCAGTGTGGACATTCAACCATCTCTTAGTGGGTGCACCATGTCACACATTCGGCCATCTCTCAGCGTGTGTACCATGTCACACATTCAACCATCTCTTAGTGCAACCATCTCTTAGTGAATGTCACACATTCAACCATCTCTCAGTGGGTGCACCATGTCACACATTCAGCCATCTCTCAGTGTGTACCATGTCACACATTCAACCATCTCTCAGTGTGGATACCATGTCACAAATTCAACCATCTCTCAGTGGGTGCACCATGTCACACATTCGGCCATCTCTCAGTGAATGCACCATGTCACATTCAACCATCTCTCAGTGAATGCACCATGTCACATTCAACCGTGAAGAGAGAGAGGGAGGAAGGGGGTCGTGATGTGTGTGATCAGCTAATGTATGATCTGTGACGTCTGGAAGATGGCTTGTGATGGCTATGTATCGCCTGAAGCGACCAGATACCATGCTGTTCTATAAATCTGTTTCATCAAAGAGTAATCCTCAGTAAGCTATGTCTAGACGTGGTATCTGCGGATGGACACTGCCTGCTGTCCAGAGATGGCGAGTTAGGGACGCTCTGGAATCATGGACATCTCTGGTGGCGATGTACACGTGTGATAAAGGTCAAGGTAGTTCTACCTACCTGACATAGCTCTCCCAGCCATACTCAATGACCCTCATGTCATACACTTCACAATAAACCTTATGCATGCACACTGAAGGGATTGTGGTGATAACACTCTACTATATCATTACATAACAAGGGTATCTTTCTACTTGGATAGTTCTTCGCAGGTCAGCCTATCCCGCAGGCACAGTACCATCTCACTGGTATACACAGGTAGGTATGTCAGTCTGTCACACACGGGTAGGTATGTCAGTCTGTCACACACAGGTAGGTATGTCAGTCTGTCACACACAGGTAGGTATGTCAGTCTGTCACACACAGGTAGGTATGTCAGTCTGTCACACACAGGTAGGTATGTCAGTCTGTCACACACAGGTAGGTATGTCAGTCTGTCACACACAGGTAGGTATGTCAGTCTGTCACACACAGGTAGGTATGTCAGTCTGTCACACAGGTAGGTATGTCAGTCTGTCACACATGGGTAGGTATGTCAGTCTGTCACACATGGGTAGGTATGTCAGTCTGTCACACACAGGTAGGTATGTCAGTCTGTCACACACGGGTAGGTATGTCAATCTGTCACACACAGGTAGGTATGTCAGTCTGACACACAGGTAGGTATGTCAGTCTGTCACACACAGGTAGGTATGTCAGTCTGTCACACACAGGTAGGTATGTCAGTTTGTCACACACAGGTAGGTATGTCAGTCTGTCACACACAGGTAGGTCTGTCAGTCTGTCACACACAGGTAGGTATGTCAGTCTGTCACACACAGGTAGGTATGTCAGTCTGTCACACACAGGTAGGTATGTCAGTCTGTCACACACAGGTAGGTATGTCAGTCTGTCACACACAGGTAGGTATGTCAGTTTGTCACACAGGTAGGTATGTCAGTCTGTCACACATGGGTAGGTATGTCAGTCTGTCACACACGGGTAGGTATGTCAGTCTGTCACACACAGCTAGGTATGTCAGTCTGTCACACACAGGTAGGTATGTCAGTCTGTCACACACAGGTAGGTATGTCAGTCTGTCACACACAGGTAGGTATGTCAGTCTGTCACACACAGGTAGGCAGCAAATACCGCAAGTTACCCAAATGTTTGGCAAATCAAAAGGCGTAATTTCAGTTGGCAGATTTTGGTGTGAACGGAAGGGGTTTGCCTCCAGTTCACAGAAATGGCAGAAAACATTGTTGGTGATGTAGCGGTGCAGTGTTTCTTGATGATTGGTGATGATTAGTGATGATTGGTGATCATGGTGATGATTTGTGATGATTGGTGATGATAGTATTGGGGCTGTAGTGGTGTGGGGAGGTATTTCATAAGACAGGCGATCTCATTAGCTTATTATGAGTGAGTGAGTGAGCACTCAGCACTATTCCAGCTATGTGGCAGCTGTAAATAATTGAGTCTGGACCAGACAATCCAGTGATCAACAGCATGATCGATCTACGCACTTGGGATACGATGACATGTGTCAACCAATTCAGCGAGCCTGACTGTTTGAGTGAGTGGATGAATCATTATTTGAGTGAGCGGATGAATGATTGCTTGATTGATTGAGTGGATGAATGATTGAGTGGATGAATGATTGTTTGAGTGGATGAATAATTGTTTGAGTGAGTGGATGTTTGTTTGAGTGAGCGGTGGATTGAGTGAGTAGATGATTGTTTGAGTGAGTAGATGAATGATTGCTAGAGCGGATGAATGATTGCTTGAGTTGATGGATGAATCATTGTTTGAGTGAGTGGATGAATGATTGTTTGAGTGGATGAATGATTGTTTGAGTGAGTGGATGAATGATTGTTTGTGTTTGAGTGAGTGGATGAATGATTGCTTGAGTGAGTGGATGAATGATTGTTTGTGTTTGAGTGGGCGGATGAATGATTGCTTGAGTGAGTGGATGGATGGTTGTTAGAGTGGATGAATGATTGCTTGAGTGAGTGGATGGATGGTTGTTAGAGTGGATGAATGATTGCTTGAGTGAGTGGATGGATGGTTGTTAGAGTGGATGAATGATTGCTTGAGTGAGTGGATGAATGGTTGTTAGAGTGGATGAATGATTGCTTGAGTGAGTGGATGGATGGTTGTTAGAGTGGATGAATGATTGAGTGGATGAATGATTGTTTGAGTGGATGAATAATTGTTTGAGTGAGTGGATGTTTGTTTGAGTGAGCATTGGGTGGATTGAGTGAGTAGATGATTGTTTGAGTGAGTAGATGAATGATTGCTAGAGCGGATGAATGATTGCTTGAGTTGATGGATGAATGATTGTTTGAGTGAGTGGATGAATGATTGTTTGAGTGGATGAATGATTGTTTGAGTGAGTGGATGAATGATTGTTTGAGTGGATGAATAATTGTTTGAGTGAGTGGATGTTTGTTTGAGTGAGCGGTGGATTGAGTGAGTAGATGATTGTTTGAGTGAGTAGATGAATGATTGCTAGAGCGGATGAATGATTGCTTGAGTTGATGGATGAATGATTGTTTGAGTGAGTGGATGAATGATTGTTTGAGTTGATGGATGAATGATTGTTTGAGTGAGTGGATGAATGATTGTTTGAGTGGATGAATGATTGTTTGAGTGAGTGGATGAATGATTGTTTGAGTTGATGGATGAATGATTGTTTGAGTGAGTGGATGAATGATTGTTTGAGTGAGTGGATGAATGATTGTTTGAGTTGATGGATGAATGATTGTTTGAGTGAGTGGATGAATGATTGTTTGAGTGGATGAATGATTGTTTGAGTGAGTGGATGAATGATTGTTTGAGTTGATGGATGAATGATTGTTTGAGTGAGTGGATGAATGATTGTTTGAGTGAGTAGATGGATGGTTGTTAGAGCGGATGAATGATTGTTAGAGTGAGTGGATGGGTGGTTGTTAGAGTGGATGAATGATTGTTAGAGTGAGTGGATGGGTGGTTGTTAGAGTGGATGAATGATTGCTTGAGTGAGTAGATGGATGGTTGTTAGAGCGGATGAATGATTGTTAGAGTGAGTGGATGGGTGGTTGTTAGAGTGGATGAATGATTGCTTGAGTGAGTGGATGAATGGTTGTTAGAGTGGATGATGGATTGCTTGAGTGAGTGGATGGATGGTTGTTAGAGTGGATGAATGATTGCTTGAGTGAGTGGATGGATGGTTGTTAGAGTGGATGAATGATTGCTTGAGTGAGTGGATGGATGGTTGTTAGAGTGGATGAATGATTGCTTGAGTGAGTGGATGAATGATTGCTTGAGTGAGTGGATGGATGGTTGTTAGAGTGGATGAATGATTGCTTGAGTGAGTGGATGGATGGTTGTTAGAGTGGATGAATGAAGACGAAGATATGTGAAAATTTTATTAACCCAGGGACTATACACAGTAAGTGCATCTGACTGTTCACACACTGTCCACAGCCCTGCACCTGTCCCACACTCAGCCTCAGTCAAGTCACATATGTCTGCTGCTCAAATACACCTATTTGATGTTTCCCAAGTAGCCTGACACACATACAAATCATCTACTTATCTCCACCTGATTCCCTGCTGACAGAATGTGACACAAAGTCTTACATGCTGACAATAAAGTATAACGCTAATCTGGCACATTTTGTTTGTAGAAGAACAGATTTATCAAATGTAGTGATGTTTCTCTGTTGACCTGGCCTGTTCACCAGTGTGACAATGTTTGGCGGCCTCATGAACAACACTTACAGAAGCAACAGGACCCTCTTGGGGAACTAGAGGACATATTGCAGAAACATGAACTAGTAAAAACATTGTGACAAAATGGCTCAGAGTTTGACCATACTGAAATTGTTTTGTTAAATATGTACCTCATGATCAACACAAGCACGTGACTCCTGCATATTTATTTCTTAAAAATCATAACTGAAATCAGAACTCTCGGATATTAGATGCGCCCTATCTGGCTGACTGCACAGAAGCATGTAACCCTGATGACACAGCCCCGAGAGGACCAGGAACACAGCCCCGAGAGGACCAGGAACACAGCCCCGAGAGGATAAGGGAACACAGCCCCTAGAGGACCAGGAACACAGCCCCGAGAGGACCAGGAACACAGCCCCGAGAGGACCAGGAACACAGCCCCTAGAGGACCAGGAACACAGCCCCGAGAGGACCAGGAACACAGCCTCACTGGCCTCAGCAGCGGACTTCATTACTCAGATCGGGAACAACATCGGGAACAACATCTGCTGCAACTGGACACAGGAGCATCCTCATGTTGGTCCTACAAGCGGCCTGTCTGCAGCAGGGTATGTTTGGTTACAAAGTCATGGTTGAGGGTCCCAGACAGCATCTTCAGGGCGCGGTTGTGGATCTTGCTGGTAGCCTCCAGACTCCCTCTGGGGTGGTTGGTTTCCTGGCGGAGGTAGTCTATCCACAGATCTGTCGGGTAAGAAAGTCATTGTTTACAAACAAATGTGTCTGGAGTCACCAAAATAACAACTGTGCTACACTCCTACACTTCAGGAGAGATTTATGACAGGTGTAGCTACAGGGAGCAGGCTACAAATGCTAACCAGCAGCAGATAATATCCTCTTGATGTGTGAACTGCTAGGGCACACCCACAATCTGCCAGGTGATAGCTGGGGGGTTCAAGGGTAACCAGTAGCAGACAATATCCTGGTGCCAACAAATTCATGTATAAAAGAATGTCCCAAGATATCAGTTAATGATCTAGTCACATTGTATACAACTGAACTTTCTGTAACTAGGACAGAGGATGCAAGTAACTTGCAAAACATGAAGCAGCCCTTTTGATGAAATTCCACAACTCCTTAGTCCTACATGCCACAACACCTTTATATTTCCCAGCTGTCTAGCCCACCCCATCTACAGGCAACACATGCCTCCACACACAGCCTACCTGGGTGGGACTTGCCAAACTCCTCCACAGCATCCTCGTACGCTCGGAGCAGGTGCTTGATCTTGGGGGTTGGCTGCAGGAAAGACATATCTCACATAGAACAGGACGTATCACATGATGGACAAAGGGAGCGTATCACATGTAGGACAGGAAAGCTGTATCACATGTAGAACAGGGAGGATGTATCACATGTAGAACAGGGAGGATGTATCTAATGTAGAACAGGGAGGGTTTATCACATGTAGAGCGGGGGGTTATCACATGTAGAACAGGGAGGGTGTATCACATGTAGAACAGGGAGGATGTATCACATGTAGAACAGGGAGGATGTATCTAATGTAGAACAGGGAGGGTTTATCACATGTAGAACGGGGGGGGGGGGGTTATCACATGTAGAACAGGGAGGATGCATCACATGTAGAACAGGGAGGATGTATCACATGTAGAACAGGGAGGGTGTATCACATGTAGAAAAGGGAGGATGTATCACATGTAAAACAGGGAGGCTCTATCACACGTAGGACAGGGAGGCTGTATCACATGTAGAACAGGGAGGGTTTATCACATGTATAACAGGGAGGGTTTATCACATGTAGAACAGGGAGGCTGTATCACATGTAGAACAGTGAGGGTGTATCACATGTAGAACATGGAGGATGTATCACATGTAAAACAGGGAGGCTCTATCGCATGTAGAACAGGGAGGGTGTATCACATGTAGAACAGTGAGGGTGTATCACATGTAGAACAGGGAGGGTGTATCACATGTACAACAGGGAGGCTGTATCACATGTAGAACAGGGGGGGGTTATCACATGTAGAACAGTGAGGTTGTATCACATGTAGAACAGGGAGGATGTATCACATGTAGAACAGGGAGGATGTATCACATGTAGAACAGGGAGGGTGTATCACATGTAGAGCAGGGAGGGTGTATCACATGTAGAACAGGGAGGATGTATCACATGTAGAACAGGGAGGGTGTATCACATGTAGAACAGGGAGGGTGTATCACATGTAGAAAAGGGAGGGTGTATGACATGTAGAACAGGGAGGGTGTATCACATGTAGAACAGGGAGGATGTATCACAAGTAGAACAGGGAGGATGTACCACATGTAAAACAGGGAGGGTGTATCTCATGTAGAACAGGGAGGATGTATCACATGTAGAACAGGGAGGGTGTATCACATGTAGAACAGGGAGGGTGTATCACATGTAGAATAGGGAGGATGTATCACATGTAGAACAGGGAGGCTGTATCACATGTAGAACAGGGAGGGTGTATCACATGTAGAACAGGGAGGCTGTATGACATGTAGAACAGGGAGGCTGTATCACATGTAGAACAGGGAGGCTGTATCACATGTAGAACAGGGAGGGTGTATCACATGTAGAACAGGGAGGATGTATCACATGTAGAACAGGGAGGCTGTATCACATGTAGAACAGGGAGGGTGTATCACATGTAGAACAGGGAGGGTGTATCACATGTAGAAAAGGGAGGGTGTAGAGGGTGTATCACATGTAGAACAGGGAGGATGTATCACATGTAGAAGAGGGAGGGTGTATCACATGTAGAACAGGGAGGGTGTATCACATGTAGAACAGGGAGGGTGTATCACATGTAGAACAGGGAGGATGTATCACATGTAGAACAGGGAGGGTGTATCACATGTAGAACAGGGAGGGTGTATCACATGTAGAACAAGGAGGGTGCATCACATGTAGAACAGGGAAGCTGTATCACATGTAGAACAGGGAGGCTGTATCACATGTAGAACAGGGAGGGTGTATCACATGTAGAACAGGGAGGCTGTATCACATGTAGAACAGGGAGGGTGTATCACATGTAAAACAGGGAGGGTGCATCACATGTAGAAGAGGGAGGGTGCATCACATGTAGAAGAGGGAGGCTGTATCACATGTAGAACAGGGAGGCTGTATCACATGTAGAACAGGGAGGGTGTATCACATGTAGAACAGGGAGGATGTATCACATGTAGAACAGGGAGGATGTATCACATGTAGAACAGGGAGGGTGTATCACATGGAGAACAGGGAGGGTGTATCACATGTAGAACAGGGAGGGTGCATCACATGTAGAACAGGGAGGATGTATCACATGTAGAACAGGGAGGATGTATCAGATTCAGAAAAGAGAGGTCATATCATTGATAGAAAACATGTATAGTAATACCAGAAATTAATGAGAATTTTAGGAATATGTTTAATGGGATTTCTAGTATAAACAACCTTGACCAGCTATCAGGACATCAGATCAGCTAAAGTGATTTCAAGTAAAACAGGCATCCCTTTGTTTATCGTGTTTTGAAAAATATTGCAAATGGATATGGCATTGAATACCAGGGAGGCGCTGGTAGGCCTAGAAAATTGACTGTCGGCGACAGGAGGCAGCTTGGTATTCTTGTTTCTAACAACAAACGAAGGAATTTATAAAACTTAAGGCTGGATATGATTGACAGAGGAACTGTGGCTGTCTGTAAAGAGACAATTAGAACTGAGCTGCATGCAATTGGTTGGCAGAAAAGTCGAGGAATTCCATCACCGATCATGAAACCTGAACAAAAGGAGCGAAGGTTGAACTGGTGCTGATGGCATAGAAATTTTAACTGGGACAATGTGATTTTCTCAGATGAAAGTTCTGTGTGGCTGTTTCCTAATACACTGAAATTCTGGACCAAACAAACTGAAAAACCTTTGTATCAGCCCAAAGTACAGTCGAAATTTTGCGTGTGGGGTGGCATATCTGTGTTAGGGGCAGCCCCTCTGTGTATTGAAGGGAATATGAACAGTGAGCGGTACACAGATATTCTCGAGGGACATTTACTTCCATCTGCTCACGTGTTCTGTGGACATTTTTGGATTTTCCAGCAGGACAACGACCCAAAACATCGTTCAAAGCATTCACCGGCCTGGTTTCGGACCCAAAATATGACATTATTAGATTGGTCAAGCTAATGCCCTGACCTAAATCCACTAGAAAATGTTTGGGGACTTATGAAGGAAAGTGTCAATAAGAAAAATCTGACAAATATTGCTGAAATGAAAGAAGAGGTGGTCCGATATTGGGACAGCATGGACCGTGACTTTCTAACTTCTTTGATCAGTAGTATGCCCCGCCGCATTGAAGCCTGCTTTGCTGCCCATGGTGACTTGACAAAATACTAACTGTTCACCTGTCTTTGAATCTGGAGTTATGTTCTGCTAATATTCACATTTAATATGTGAGTAATGAGTGAATTTTTTAAAAAAAAAATACAATCTTAAATTCTCAATAATTTCTGGTTGTACTGTATTAATGCCAGTGGTGGAAAGGAAATAAATGTGTTTTCAATTCAGGGAACTGTTAACTGTCATTCAGATGTTGCTAAATTTAACATTTTAAAACCCAACATGCACAAACAAATATTGAGTTGTTTGTCAAAATTCACTGACTTGAAGACATGAAACCCTGTTCCCCTCCTCTGGGTGACATTGACATGAACAGCATTCACAGTCCTTTGTGTCACCTTCATTACAGAACGTCCGTCATAATGAATCACATCCACACTATTTTAAACCATTTTGATAAATGCATAGACTGGAAAGGCAGTATTGATTTGTACAAATTGCAAAGTTTGGCAACAGTGTGATTGCAGTGTTTCAAACAGACTGTACGAGAATGTGCCGACCCCTGACTACTGGACGTTACTCATGTCCCACGAGGCCGTGCAACCAACAAATCAAAGCCTCGCTAATATCACACTACGGAAGAGAAGGTGACAGATTAGCCTACAGAGGAGCCAAGGGCATCGTTAACGTGTAATGAAATTTATGTCAGGGAAGACTTCTCCTGGCACTAGATTGGGCTACAAGTGGTGTTTAGGAGCAGTTGACATCGTGTTAAACATTAGCAGCCAGCCAGCTGCGGTGTCAGTCATAAGCGCTGTTATCGGCACTATGCGTACTTGAGGCCATCACAAGACCTGCCTGCTTGATAGGTGTAAGACCTGTGCATGTTACAGCCGCTAATATTAATTTCAACTCCAGGGAGATTCATCGGACATCAAATAGCGTTGCTACTCTGACACCCTCAGCCAATCCCTGGTCTGACACTAAGACGTGTGTCGGTGACAGGCTGCATGGGTTCTGCAGGGATGGCACTTTTTATGTCCAGATTATCATTTGTTGGAATGAAGGGAACAGCAGCGCTAATACATTTACCTCAATATGGGCTGTGCAACAGTCAAACAAGGACACTTCATTTGTACAATGACCCTCAAATCTTGTAGCAAGTGAACAATAGCATGGCAAGAGTTGAGCTGAGGTGAGACTGGGTATAATGTTGCCTTTAAAACTACTGCACCTATACCAGTTTGAGCGAGCGAGCGAGTGGGTGAGTGAGTGAGTGAGATGTTTACAGCTGTATTGTAGCAATACACCGTGGATAGTTTTGCATGGTACTTCAACAGTATTTCAGTCATTGATCCCTGATGCATATGAAACATCAGAAGGGATACAGGCAAAACTATCTAGGCGCTTGAAATCTCTGCACAAGAAACTGCTAGTTTAAGTTTACTTTTACACAGCACTCAGCAATTTTCCAGCTATATGGTGGCAAGAAATTGATAATCAGACAAGAGACAAAACACATTTGTGAAGAGTCCACTCATTCCTACCGGGTATCCATTCACTGACTGGTTATGAGAGACATGTTTCAAACAAAGTTAATTTTCTGAGTACACAGGCCTAATCTTTAATCCGACTACCCTCCATGACCACTGATCCTGCTTAACTTTACCTAACTTCTGATCTGTGTACAGTACAATGGATCACCTACCTATAAACAACACCTACCTCCACAAACTGACCGCCAACCTCCACAGACCAACCACCTACCTCCACATACCGACCACCTAGCTCCACAGACAAACCACTTAGCTCCATAGGACCACCTACCGACCACCTAGCTCCACAGACAAACCACTTAGCTCCATAGGACCTTCACCTCCACATCACCAGCTTGGGCTCCCGACCACCTAGCTCCACAGACCACAGACCACCTGGCTCCACAGACCAAACCACTTGGCTCCATGGGACCACCTACCTCCACATACCGACCACTTAGCTCCACAGACAAACCACTTAGCTCCATAGGAACACCTACCTCCACATACCGACCACCTAGCTCCACAGACCAACCACCTAGCTCCACAGACTGACCACCTAGCTCCACACACCAAGTAGCTCCCCAGACCACCTAGGTCCACAGACCACCTACCTCAACAGACCAACCACCTAGCTCCACAAACTGACCACCTAGCTCCACACACCAAGTAGCTCCCCAGACCACCTAGGTCCACAGACCACCTACCTCAACAGACCAACCACCTAGCTCAACAGACCAACCACCTAGCTCCACAGACTGACCACCTAGCTCCACAGACCAAGAAGCTCCCCAGACCAAGTAGCTCCCCAGACCACCTACCTTCACAGACTACCTGCCCCCAAATGGTGACAGAAATTACCGGTAAGTACAATACATAATTTGAAATTTAGTACACAGATAAGGGCATGTTAACCAGTTTGAAATAATTCAAAACATAAAGCAGCCCAGAAAGTATAGGACTCTGCTAAATTGTGAACACAGATCAGAAACAACTTCTCTGAGAACGTTCATCCAAAATAATAAATCACTGTGATCAAACCATTTTACAACATGTCAGCTATCGATATTTCATGAATATTTTGCCCTGCTCAGAAGACGATCCAAGAACCATTTTCTTTGGCCAGAAAGGGCCACGTCTTCCCATATCTAACTTGACCGCACGTCCACATTTAAGACATATTGAACCTTCCCCATGAGAAGACAGATTATTTCTGTTAACATTCACTGTGCACCTGCCGGGACACACTCTGAGCGAGTTAGGAAATCCATTACCCACTACCCCGGTGTCCTCCACGCTCGTACATCGCCCCTCAACTTACAGTTGGGGCTCAGTTGGCTAATCAAAGCGCTTTATGACCGTTAATATCCATCATACCGGTGCTTATTCCTAATCAACCTTACTTCAGAAATTTGGTAATGACGTCTTTTTTATTCAAAGATAGGTTTTTATAGTTGGATTATTCAGTGGAGGTTTGTGTCGGACTCATCGAGAGCTAGCCAACTCAGCACGCAAATTACGCACTGCCAATCAATCGTGATCAATTCTCATTATGGGAAAGCATGCAGCCTGCACAAATTGTTCTATAATCAACAGAGAATGAACTTGCACCATTGTTAGCTGATATGACCTTAAACGAAATAAGCCTTCTAAGTGATCTCTGTGAGCATGGGTTTAACAACTAGTACAAGCAAGTGCTTTGCACAGAAACTCACTATGCAAATACACATCTTAACAGACCTCACTTGTAGAAATGATTTCCGAAAACTTCAAAATTACCATAAATAAAAAAGGAAGAGGACAGTATGGTATGTGAAATTAGATTTCAGAATGGTCATGAATCAGCATGTAATGTTCGGAGAGAGGTATTTGTATCTGGTACTTCCCTGACAGCTAGACATCAGTCCAACAATCTCCAGCAGTCATTGCCTTGATAAATGTCACACCAGGTTACAATTTGTACTTTAATTTATTTGTCAACAAACAGTTTTGTGTACACGGGTAGTATTTTATCCGACCAGGAGCTGGTGATACAGGTTTTAGTATCTCATAAACCTCTCCTGGGTTCTTTCCCTGCCCAGTAAGTAGGTAATTAACAGCTGGTGGATTTCTCAATCCTCTTTTCATGACCCGCCACTCTACAAGCGAGGAGTAGGCCATAAATCTCCATAGCCTGTAAAGCCTCTTAACTAAACATGGCTGCTTCTCCTGGAGATTAGTCAAATTCAATTTAGTCTCTCCATGGGCTCAGAAACGATAGCAACATCTAATCTCCAATACACCAGTAGCTCATCAGACCTCCACCCTCTAGCAAACCTATATATACAGAACTACTTTCCAAACAACTAATGATATATTGATGGACAATAAGAAGGTTTATAAGTATGGTCTAACACAGTAGTCGTCATCCACCTCATAAACTGCAGCTTAGACAACTGGGAACAACTCCGAGGTGAATGAAGACAGAAGATGCTAGACGGCTTCAGGAAATGAGCTACTGATGTTGGTGTCTGGTTTTCAATAAGTTGATCACGGCATCAAATGGTTGATTGCACTTGATTACTACAATTACTGTAACTGAACGAAGGCACAAATGTAAATAATTCTCTTTAAAACTTTCAAAATGAAAGGTTATGTATATTTGATGTCTAAGTTGGAAATCAATCAACCAGTATATACCCAATTCACTTTGTTTAATGGACGAACCTAACCTCATTTGTTTCAACAGAATAACTGTTAAAGTGCCTTCCATCACATAAACTGAATAAATCTGCAAAACCACAATGGAATGTGTCATCAGTGAAACTCTACTAGGAAGTGAGCAATCTTAACACCACTGAAGATACATCACCCTTACAAACAATCTATCTATTTGAGGAGCAAACCTGATGAGGCATGATATGCAAATGTTGTACCATCTGGGCTACCCGTGGGGTGGTTTGGGTTGAGAAACTGATGAAAAGGTTCTATGAGGTATTTTTTACAACCTCCTCTATGGCCCCCAGGTTGTGCCATACTCCCTCACTGACTAATTGCCAGTGTCTACCCTGGTCCTCACTGCATCATGCACGTTCAGCATGTCTAATATCACCAACAAACCTCGGAGGACCCCACCTCAATCAACCCTCCACAATGCAACATTACCTGGCACTAACCTCCACATGCCATACACTCATTAGCCAACAACGTGTCTCAGGACGCCTGTAGACACCCATGCCATGTATTAAGTCGTTTCATGAATCGGGGAATCTATGGGGATGCTGGCATTCAGGGTGGTAATAACGCCCCCCATGGTGCTGTAGTGACAGGGAGTCATCATCTCACCGCACACATGACAGAAGAGCAGATTACCTGGCCAGTGCATTAACAGGTAATGCTGGACTCCTGTGTGATCACAGGCACTAAACAATGATTGCACATTTCTTTGGCTGCAGTTGATCAAGACACATGGCCAAGTGAGTGAGTGAGGGAGCGAGAGAGAGTGAGAGTACATGTGTGGTTGGGTGAGTTAGTGAGTGAGAGAGTAAGAAAGAGAGAGAGTGAGTGAGTGAGTCTAGGGACCTGTTGTAACCACCAGTCACTGCTGACTTGGATGATGTGAGTGTAGGTCTGTGGTAACAAGCAGCTTCTAGCATCACCAGCTCACCTGGGAGTTCTCCATGTTGATGTACTTGGTGTAGAAGTCGAGGGACACAGGTTTCAGCTGAACCAGTCTGAAAATAGGAACATTCCGCCACAACTTATTAGCAGCCCAAACTTAAGAAGCACAAACTCAACAATGAGACTAGACGTAATTGAACATTGTCCGTCAGTAGTTTTGACAATCAATGTCCAATGGTTCAGTTTCAATTGGCCTCTTAATGTTTCAAGTGTTCAGTCAGGTGGCCAGCATCTGCATGGTGCCCTGTGTCGCACCACAAGAATATTAGACATGATTAAACATTCGGCCATAAAACTGTCACAAAAATCATGCTACCCTGTCATATGTCTGCCTGACCATAAGCTAGATCTACCTGACTATCTTTTTTAAATCTCTTTGAGGTGATCTCCCAAACCAACTTTTCCAACATCTCCACGACGAGCTCTTCCCAGATCTCCATCATCATCCTGCAGGTCTCTCTGATCAAACTTGTCACAGATGTCGCAGTCTAGCTTGTCACAGATGTAGCAGTCTAGCTTGTCACAGATGTCGCAGTCTAGCTTGTCACAGATGTCGCAGTCTAGCTTGTCACAGATGTCCCAGTCTAGCTTGTCACAGATGTCCCAGTCTAGCTTGTCACAGATGTCCCAGTCTAGCTTGTCACAAATGTCGCAGTCTAGCTTGTCACAGATGTCCCAGTCTAGCTTGTCACAAATGTCCCAGTCTAGCTTGTCACAGATGTCCCAGTCTAGCTTGTCACTTGTCACAGATGTCCAAGTCTAGCTTGTCACAGATGTCCCAGTCTAGCTTGTCACAGATGTAGCAGTCTAGCTTGTCACAGATGTCCCAGTCTAGCTTGTCACAGATGTAGCAGTCTAGCTTGTCACAGATGTCCCAGTCTAGCTTGTCACAGATGTCCCAGTCTAGCTTGTCACAGATGTCCCAGTCTAGCTTGTCACAGATGTAGCAGTCTAGCTTGTCACAGATGTCCCAGTCTAGCTTGTCACAGATGCAGTCTAGCTTGTCACAGATGTCGTAGTCTAGCTTGTCACAGATGTCCCAGTCTAGCTTGTCACAGATGTCCCAGTCTAGCTTGTCCAAGACCTCCCAGACTAGTCTGTCTCAGATCTCCCTTACCATCCTTTTTTCAGATCTATCTTACTAAATTTGTCATAGATGTCCAAGTCTACACAGACTAGCCTCAAATCTTCCTAACTATCCCATCTCAGACCCTAAACTCAGTGCTGTGGGTAATATCACTCACCTGTCATACACCATGCGGGCATGTCCGATGCCCTGGGTCAGGAAGGCCCATTCCAGATACAGCTCCTTTGCGGGCCGACTGACTTCTCGACAGCACAGTATGGCTTCCTGAACAACAAGAAGCCAGGTTGTACATGTGAACTTGACTTTTACTGTTCTATTACTTACTAACTGATGATTATTAAACAAGAGACAGCTTAAATGAAGAATTTAGTATTTGTCTAGAGGACATTGTACTGAGGAATGGTCTGAGGATGGTAGACGGTGGACTGAGGATGGTGGACAGAGGATGGTGGACTGAGGACGGTGGACTCAGGATGGTGGACTGAGGATGGTGGATAGAGGATGGTATACTGAGGACTGTGGACTGAGCACTGAAGACTGTGGACTGTGGACTGAGGACTGAAGATGGTGGACTGAGGACGGTGGATAAAGGATGGTGGACTGAGGACAGTGGACTGAGGATGGTCGACTGAGGATGGTGGATAGAGGATGGTGGACTGAGGATGAGGGATAGAGGACGGTGGATAGAAGATGTGGACTGAGGACTGTAGACTGAAGATGGTGTACTGAGGATGGTGGATAGAGGACGGTGGATAGAAGACGGTGGATAGAAGATGGTGGACTGAGGACTGTAGACTAAAGATGGTGGACTGAGGTCAGTGGACTGAGGACTGTAGACTGAGAATGGTGGACTGTGGACTGAGGAAGGTGGACTGAGGACTGTAGACTGAGGATGGTGGACTGAGGACGGTGGATAGAAGATGGTGGACTGAGGACTGTAGACTAAAGATGGTGGACTGAGGTCAGTGGACTGAGGACTGTAGACTGAGGATGGTGGACTGAGGATGGTGGATAGAGGATGGTGGACTGAGGATGAGGGATAGAGGACGGTGGATAGAAGATGTGGACTGAGGACTGTAGACTGAAGATGGAGTACTGAGGATGGTGGATAGAGGACGGTGGATAGAAGATGGTGGACTGAGGACTGTAGACTAAAGATGGTGGACTGAGGTCAGTGGACTGAGGACTGTAGACTGAGAATGGTGGACTGTGGACTGAGGAAGGTGGACTGAGGACTGTAGACTGAGGATGGTGGACTGAGGACGGTGGATAGAAGATGGTGGACTGAGGACTGTAGACTAAAGATGGTGGACTGAGGTCAGTGGACTGAGGACTGTAGACTGAGGATGGTGGACTGAGGATGGTGGATAGAGGATGGTGGACTGAGGATGAGGGATAGAGGACGGTGGATAGAAGATGTGGACTGAGGACTGTAGACTGAAGATGGAGTACTGAGGATGGTGGATAGAGGACGGTGGATAGAAGATGGTGGACTGAGGACTGTAGACTAAAGATGGTGGACTGAGGTCAGTGGACTGAGGACTGTAGACTGAGAATGGTGGACTGTGGACTGAGGAAGGTGGACTGAGGACTGTAGACTGAGGATGGTGGACTGAGGACGGTGGATAGAAGATGGTGGACTCAGGACTGTAGACTAAAGATGGTGGACTGAGGTCAGTGGACTGAGGATTGTAGACTGAAGATAGTGGACTGAGGACGGTGGATAGAGGACAGTGGATAGAAGATGGTGGAGAGAGGACTGTAGACTGAAGACGGTGGACTGAGGATGGTGGATAGAGGATGGTGGACTGAGGACTGTAGACTGAAGATGGTGGACTGAGGACGGTGGACTGAAGATGGTGGACTGAGGACTGTAGACTGAAGATGGTGGACTGAGGGCAGTGGACTGAGGATAGTGTATAGATGAAGGAGAGGTGGATAGAAGATGGAGGACTAGAAGATGGTGGACTGAGGTGGATAGAGGAAGGTGGACTGAGGACTGTAGACTGAAGATGGTGGACTGAGGACGGTGGATAGAAGATGGTGGACTGAGGACTGTAGACTGAAGATGGTGGACTGAGGATGGTGGACTGAGGACGGTGGATAGAGGAAGGTGGACTGAGGACTGTAGAATGAAGATGGTGGACCGAGGAAGGTGGACTGAGGACTGTAGACTGAAGATGGTGGACTGAGGACGGTGGATAGAAGATGGTGGACTGAGGACTGTAGACTGAAGATGGTGGACTGAGGATGGTGGATAGAGGATGGTGGATAGAGGACGGTGGATAGAGGATGGTGGACTGAGGACTGTAGACTGTAGACTGAGGACGGTGGACTGAGGACGGTGGACAGAGGATGGTTGATAGAGGATGGTGGATAGAGGATGGTGTACTGAGGAAGGTGGACTGAGGACTGTAGACTGAAGATGGTGGACTGAAGACAGTGGACTGAGGACTGTAGACTGAGGATGGTGGACTGTGGACCGAGGAAGGTGGACTGAGGACTGTAGACTGAGGACACAGGACGGTGGGCTGAGGACGGTGGACAGAGGATGGTGGATGGTAGACCGAGGAATGTTGATTGAGGATGTCGACTGAGGTTGGTTGTCAGAAACTCCAACATCAGGGTAATGATGGATCTGTGTGTTGTGACTGACAGAGCTCACCTCCATGAGTTTGTCGAGGGTGTCTGTTTCCCCCGAGTCCATCAGGTGGAGCAGCATCAACTCCCACACTGGCCAGCTCACCTGCAACATCACCAACACCATCAGTACAACCACATCACAACAACTCAGTGCTGTAATGAACTGAATGTCCTACACCTTGACAAAACATTACTTAAGCTGAAATGAGTCAATGAAAAGTAATGTCCTTCCTGCAATGAAGAATCTAAAGCTGGTCTTACACTTGTTCAGGCATTGCTCTCACACAGATGTTTTTGTCTGAATTTAGTATTTTTACAGTATTTTAGCATTATGAAACTGAGCAATAAACTGTATTGCCATACTGTCATGCATGTATAGCTGGAGAGGGAACAACAACCAGGTCGAAATGCTTTCACACTCTAGGATATGATTAGAGTTAAAAGATTCTTACAGTTTAGAGACAATAACACCAATAAATTCCATAAAAAAGCAAATAAAACTGACAAAAGCTGTTCCTAATTCATCAGATAATTCTGCTAAAGCAGACTTAATTCTGTGCATTCTGCCCCATATACAACCATGTAAGGCTTTAATGGCATACTGGCTGTATTCATGTTTTGAACAAATTTTTGGTTTAAAAAAAAAAATACAAAAAAAAATACACTGGTGCTGCTCACTGAATTAATGACAGCAAACACTCATTAAAGCTCTCATAAAATCATTCTGAGGATCTAAAGCTCACTGCTGTAAGCATGGTTTTATGTTGTATCTTTGATGTTTCTAATTATGGTCTAGTCACGGTCAAGCCATGGTCCAGTCTTGGTCCAGTCATAGTCAAGCCATGGTCCAATCATGGTCAAGCCATGGTCCCGTTATGAGGAGTCATGGTCAAGCCATGGTCCAATCATGGTCAAGCCATGGTCCAATCATGGTCAAGCCATGGTCCAATCATGGTCCTGTTATGGGGAGTCATGGTCAAGCCATGGTCCAATCATGGTCAAGCCATGGTCCAATCATGGTCCCGTTATGGGGAGTCATGGTCAAGCCATGGTCCAATCATGGTCCCGTTATGGGGAGTCATGGTCAAGCCATGGTCCAATCATGGTCAAGCCATGGTCCAATCATGGTCAAGCCATGGTCCAATCATGGTCCCGTTATGGGGAGTCATGGTCAAGCCATGGTCCAATCATGGTCAAGCCATGGTCAGGTCATGGTTCAGCCAATCTCATGGCAGCATATTCCTGTGATTTGAGAGGTGAGATGATTGCATGTGAACATATTCCTGTGACTTGAGAAATGGAATAAATCTCATGGCAGCATATTCCTGTGACTTGAGAGGTGAGATGATTGCATGTGAACATATTCCTGTGACTTGAGAGATGAGATTATTGCATGTGAACATATTCCTGTGATTTGAGAGGTGAGATAATTGCATGTGAACATATTCCTGTGACCTGAGAGGTGAAATAAATCTCATGGCAGCATATTCATGTGATTTTAGAAGTGAGATAAATCACATGTGAGCATATTCCTGTGATTTGAGAGGTGAGATGATTGCATGTGAACATATTCCTGTGACTTGAGAAATGGAATAAATCTCATGGCAGCATATTCCTGTGACTTGAGAGGTGAGATGATTGCATGTGAACATATTCCTGTGACTTGAGAGATGAGATTATTGCATGTGAACATATTCCTGTGATTTGAGAGGTGAGATAATTGCATGTGAACATATTCGTGTGACCTGAGAGGTGAAATAAATCTCATGGCAGCATATTCATGTGATTTTAGAAGTGAGATAAATCACATGTGAGCATATTCCTGTGATTTGAGAGATGTGTTTCAGGAAATATTTCTTGTCAGGTTTGAGATAAAGTACCACCCTGATAACCCACACTGACATGAAAGCCAACAGAGCCTTAGCTTCAGAGGACCAAGAAACATATCCAAATGGATTGCCTCATCTTGTGTGAACAGATTCCGATGTGTGAAGGGCTGTCTCATTAGCTACAGGTTTTAGCTGTGTCTTGTAACATCACCAGACATGTCAATGCTGATGTCTTTCAGATACCCATTAGAGATTCTCTAATGCAAAGCAATAACCAAGATAGAAATTCTGAGAGAAATTAGTGGTGGACTAATTCATGGAATAAGTAGTCAATCTGGACATTCAAAACAAGTATTGATTACCAACATATTCAATCAATTAAGCAAGGCCAGTAATCAATAATTAATCAATCTGAGAGTTCTGACTATCGAATACTCAGGTAAAGGACCAACACTCACAGCAATGGAGTTTGGTGGTCTCAGTGAGTGAGTGAGTGAGTGACAGCAGGGGGTGCCGTGGTACAGATACAGAAGGTTGTTCAAAATACCTCATTATTTCTCATTAGTTTCTTATGTCAGGCTACAGTATTCCAGTGATATCACATGGGTGTAGACATAATGGAGTGTGGACCAGGCCAACCCGGGCTGAAGACCCCACCAATGATTTATTCCAATTCAAGTTTGGCTGGCCGACAATCTGTAATGAGTGCTGGAGACATATTCTACCCACAGGTCTCAAAATATAACAAACACAATCCAAAACACTCTGATAGTTGACTGAATGGCTCTTGAGAACTAATCAAAACCATAAAAAATGAATTAACATCATAATTGACTCCTTGGAAGGCATATGGTGGCTCCAACTGATGATATTCAGCCAACTGCCAACAACCAATCAGACCTGTCTTCCACCCTCAAACCAGTGATAAATGGCGGCACTGAGACAGGTAACAAATTGTAAAGTCAAACGTAGCTTAATTTGACATGCCGCTGTAACTACAACTTTGAACACAAAGCAATCAATGTTTTATGTGTAAAACAACAGAGCTGGGGTTCCGCAAGGTAAGCAAACAAGACGGCCGATTGTGAAACATTTGCTGGAGACAGGTGTGAGAGGGGCAGGTGTTACGTCATGGTTCCGCCGCTGTGATACGACGCATATACTACACGCTGGAAGCACGCTGCAAACATACTCTGCTACAAGGGCAGGGAATACAAACATGTAACAAGCACTTGATACAACTAACACAGTTTTTATGTTCAGTTTGTTGTCTCTAATCAGGTATTATTCCTCGTTACCTACTGGCGAGACATGCCCAGTCACGTGGTCCCTCCTAACGAGAGGATGTTACATCACACAGCACTACAGGAGATCTACCAGTCACACTCCACATCACAACAAAGTCATCAGCAACAAATCCAAAGGAACAGACAAATAACATTTCTTGTGTTTTTCAGTACACACTGAGGGAATGTTTTGTCTTTTTTCCTGACACAAAGACAATGATGAGCATACATTATAACATACACCTACATTTCCACTTCTTACAGCCCCAAACAAAGCATTTTTATAGGTTCGTGAAAAGTTTTTGTGACCAAGTCAAACCTTTTTGATTTCATATATACATATATATATATGTTTATATATATATATATATATATATACTACTCACAGAATGTTAGGGAGCACATGGTTGTCTCAGATATTATATAGTTTAGTCCTGCCACAATAGATTAACTGTAGTAATATGGAGGAATCAAGTGCTCCCTAGCTCTTTTGAGTGGTATATGATTAGCAACAAGATTACACAGCTCTTCTGTGTGTGAACGATAATGACTGAGAAAAGGACAACCCTGTTGTCTTCAGTAGAGACCAGGATTCAAAAGTTAGTGCTATGATATCAAAGCATGCAAATCTTCTAACAGGTTTATTATTTCCAAATGCCATTTCTGTAAGGCTTTTCAAGGCACTTCCTCTCATTTTCAAGCCATAGCAACTTAAACATGTTTCCAAGTCCTTTTCAAGTCACACTATTGAATCGTTGCCTTTCCTAATCAAATGTGAGAATTCCAGTGCACCTGTTGAAAGCTGGAGGACGTCATACTGCTATCTGACATACACCCTCCATGAATCCACCAGCTTCAGAGAAAGATCAAAATTAAAAGAAGCGCATAAATCTAGTGTGTGTATTTTGATGTGATTGACAGTAGACAGGCCCCAGCCACAATGGTAGTGGGAGGCTCTCCATGATCACAGCAGTTACAGGTCCACATACGTAAGAGATTAACTTGTCTGTGGTGACAGAGAGTTGTAGAAAATGATTGCAACCAAAAGAATGATATCATGCTTTAATATATGATAAAAGGATATCAGCTGAAGAAAGTGATTGGATTGATTTCTCCCGAGACTGTGTTATTGGCTGGACACATCAAAGAGAATCCTTGAATGATGAAGCTCACTAGAATATTGAGGAGTGCCTAGCTGCTTGGTATCTAAACCTGGACCATTGAGTCCAGGATATGTACCTTGGTAACAAGTGTTCCCGTTCTTTCAGAAAAATATGTACCTTGGTACAAACAGGGCCATTCTGTCTGGTCAATATGTACCTTGGTACAAACAGGGCCATTCTGCCTGGTCAATATGTACCTTGGTACAAACAGGGCCATTCTGTCCGGTCAATATGTACCTTGGTACAAACAGGGCCATTCTGTCTGTTCAGTGTGTACCTTGGTACAAACAGGGCCATTCTGTCTGGTCAATATGTACCATGGTACAAACAGGGCCATTCTGCCTGGTCAATATGTACCTTGGTACAAACAGGGCCATTCTGTCTGGTCAATATGTACCTTGGTACAAACAGGGCCATTCTGCCTGGTCAATATGTACCTTGGTACAAACAGGGCCATTCTGTCTGTTCAGTGTGTACCTTTGTGACAAGCAGATGCATTCTATCTTGGGAATAGTTACATCCATTATAACTGATTGTATTGAATATTGATAATTCTGCAACACACTGTAATGAAATACATGATACCCATTTCTCCTTCCACCTCATACACACCATCATACACACCATCATACACACCATCACCACCGGTCTGTTCCTGACAGATTTGTTGACACAACCCTTACCATATACCTTATCATTCATCTCTCCAACCTGCTTCCTATTCATCCATCCATTATTTAGAAAAAACTTGACCAAACAACCCATGCATCCATTATATACTGACCTTAATCTACCCACCCATCCGTCCATCCATTATATACTGAC